TAAAAAAATTTTAATTGAATTTGGTTAAGAATTCATAAAGATATCTTCAATAAAAGTTTTTGTAAACAATTTCAATATAGTTTTTTTGTTATATATATTTTAGAAAAAAAAAGTTTCATCAAAGATATCTCTACGAGTTCTTGACCAAATTTAATGAAAATTTTTTTATTTAATTTCTACAGATCTGTAGAATTAAAATAAAAATTTTTTATTGAATTTGGTTAAGAACTCACAGAGATATCTTCAATAAAAGTTCTTGTAAACAATTTTAATATAGCATCTTTGTAATATATAATTTGATTGGTCTATAGCATAGTGGAGATCATGTGACCTAAAATTTGGTGTAACGAAAGAGTAGGAAAAGTTGCGAAGGTCACGTGATCTCTATTTGTATAACATAAAGTAGCACGAAATCACGTAAGTAAGATTGTGTAATACAAAATATATATTTACTATACATTTTATAATTTAAATAAGTTACACAAAAAAAGGCACAGTTTCATTTTAATCTAATTTCATTATAAGCTGCCACAATAATTAATGACTACATATACAGTATACTGACAAAATTGCTGATAAAATGATTATTTGAAAGTGGGTATCAGAAGATTGCAAATAGTTTGTTTGCCAAATATGTAGCAATACAAAAATTAAATTTGGCAAGCAAATATAACAATAATAATAAATAAATAAGATTTTTGCTTTTTAATATGTAATTAATAATAAGCAATCAATAACAATAACAAAATAAGCTTCCAGCACCTAACAACAATCAAACAAAATTATAACTGCATATTCATGACTCTAACTTTAAACTGATCTAACCATAAATACCTAACTCTAACCAAATACATGATTCTTATTCTAACCAAAGTTCATTATTACAAATACCAGTTTCTTTACTACTAATGATTCTTTTTGTTAGCTAGATTGGATTTATACTTTAAACAATATTATAACCTTTACCTGAATAGTAACTGCAGGTTTTAGAAGATGAAATATAACAATCACTATGTTTTTCAACAAATGACTTGAGCCATTTAGAGGGTTGTCCTCTTAGCTTATAATATTCTGAATTAGATACTTCAATTAGGAACCCAGAAAAATATTGATTTATATAAATCAATATAAATCGATATTTTTAGGCCAAATTATAAATAAATCAATATTTTTACAATTTTTTATACAGTGTAACAACATCATTTCAAATAAAATTAAAAGTGTAATTTAGACCAGGAATATAAATTTGGCTACCCTGAACTGTTGGGAAATATAGACAATTAACAAACAAAATTTCTGTTTTTTTTTTTTTTTTTTAATTTGGCAGTCTTGTCTTAACTGTTTATTAGTACTTTAATTGATGATCCACCAGTCAGCTGAAAAATAATTATAGTAAAATGTAACTCAGATTACTATATAAATTTACTATAGTGCGAATCTGGTAATCACCCAAGGTAAACTTTTTTTTATACTAAGTTAATCACCTTTCTTGCTTAAAAGACTTTTGTAAAGCTTGTCAAAACGCATCTAATGGTAGTTAGAACGTCAAAATCAGCCTGGTGGGTGCTGAAATATCTTTAAAAAACCTCTCTTTTACTATGTAAATTTCTTTGCAAACAATAGTATTATTTGCAAAGAAATTTACATAGTAAAAGAAAGGTTTTTTAAAGATATCTCAGCACCCACCAGGCCGATTTTGACGCTCTAACTACCATTAGATACATTTTGACAAGCTTTACAATAGTATCTTAAGCAAGAAAGGTGATTAACTTAGTATGAAAAAAAGTTTATCTTGGGTGATCACCATATTCGCACTATAGTAAATTTATATAGTAATCTGAGTCACATTTTACTATGATCATTCTTTAGGTGACTGGTGAATCATCAATTAAATTATAATCTGAGATGGAATTTTGGTTGGAACGTAATATTAGTCTTACAAGACTTGGATATATATACAAAAAGGTAATATTTTATATATTTATATATATAGAAGTGTGGCGTCTTAGTAAAGTAGTCTAGTCATTACTCTTACCAAATAGTATAGTATAGGTTCTAAGTTTGAATTCCAGGGATGACATTTTTAAAAAGAAATAAAATATATCAGACAATGATTTCTACTTAGATAGAACCCCAGATAATTTACAAGAAGCTAATTCAAAAATTATCATTGAATATGAAAAATTGTATAAAGCCGTTGCAAAATGTAGTGAAAATTTTAGAGCTTCCCCTACTAAAATTATAGCTGATGCTATATTACATGCTTTAACTACCCCTTATCCAAAAAATACTTATTATATTGGTTTAGATGCTAAAGTTCTTGCTTCTGTTAATTGGCTATTAGGTGATAGAGTTGCTGAAACTGTACAGTTCAAAGTTTTATTTTTTGTTTCTAATTAATAGTTTATATATCTAGTCGGTGATAAGAAAATCTCTCACCAGATATTATTTATTATCTGGCTTATATGTATATTATATTTCGGATAAACATATAACAGCAGTTTCTATCCAGGTTCGAACCTCAGTAACTAGTAATTTAAATTAAAATTTAAATGAGGTTAAACTTTTATTAAATAAATATGTATTTTATTACATACTGCGAATATGTATTTCTTTCTCTATATTATTAGTGTAAATACAGCTTAAATGGTAGTGTTACAAATAGCCAAAATTTTTCCAATCAATTAGTTTATTTTTTTAGTTAACAAACTAGTTGCAACTAATCGATTAATTGTTAAGTTGCAATTAATCAATTAATTGATTTTTTGATTAATAGTAAGTTATAACTAATCGATTAGTTGCAACTAATTAATTAAAGAATTAATTGATTTTTTAATCGATCAGCAATTAATTCTTTAATCGATTAGTTGATTAATTGATTAATTAATTAGTTGGTATCTAAAAAATTCAATTGATTAGTTGTCAACTAACCAAATAATTAATTTTTAACTTTCGATTTGTAACACTATTAAATGGTTGCTAAAATCTTCTGAAGATAAAGAATGTCATTGAACAGTATAATTTTGGGTTACGCTATTATAAATGTATAAATGAAAAGAAGACATTTGAATGGTTTTATTACTTTTTGTATCTGAAGCTGACCAACATATATATATACAGTACTTAAGAAATAATCAATTATTTTGCTATGACTAGGGTATTTAAATTTTTCAATGCTCTTATTTTTTTGTAACTGATCATTTAAAGAGTAAGTAATAACATGACGAATATCTAATATAACCAGTATGTATATACATAATCCATAAAATGTGAATTATCTTTTGTATTTGAATTCATAGTCACAAAATCTACCTATTTTGAAATACATTAATTATGAAACACTCTAATATAATCAAGATTTTTATTCACAGCCTAAGTTTAGTTTGAAGGCTTTTTTGCTTGGTAGTAATTATATACAGAGAAAGTCCAGAACTTTTTTTTAGTCGTTAAACTAGTCACACAGAATGACTAAACCATTTTTTCCATTTTATGAACGAATACTATAAAAATAGCAAAATTAATTTAAACCAAAATTATCAAAAATGAATTACCGTATAGCACTGACTACAGTATCCCGGGTACTTTTTAATAAACTATCGAATTTCTTGAATAGTACCCACCCGGGTACTATTTACAGAGGGGGGTATACAAGTATGGGGTATTTTGTAACAGGGATACTATAACAGGGGTCTTTTACATGGTTATAATAAAATTACCGTATAGGTGGCTCACAAAGGTGCCGTGATGTAATTTATAGCATAG